GTAGTAAAAGTTTTCATACACAGCTTTGTTAGCAAATTGCAAAGCCGTTAGGTCTTAAAAATTTCTTAAACACATTCGTTTATTTAATAAAGGGATTCTCCATATGCTAACTATGCTGTATAAAATTAACTTAAACAATTACAGTTTTAAGATAAAAAGCCTCGATAGTTAGAAATAAAAGTCATGTAGTAAAAAACTGTAAATGAATGTAGGTACTGTTATCTAAAGAAAATTTCTGCCTACGATAAGTGAGCTAATGGGCAGATCACTAGGCCACATCTCTTAGTAAGCCAACCATAATGGCTAGAGAACTAACCCCTTCTTCAAAGCAAAGTACCAAACAAAAGTGCTTTTGGAAAACCAATTGTGCAGCCGCCAGACACCACTTATGATAGTATATATACCACATTCATAAGACCGATCGGAAATAATGAATATATGGTCTGGTGGAAAACTTCATACCGAGGGAACCACTAGAACTTAATTAGGCAAGTACAAATTCTCGAATTCCTCGACATATTGGTAGATATTAATATTTAGCCAACAAGCGCTGCGAACTTTCATTCAGGGGTTGGTCACTCGCAGACTTCAGTAAGCCAACATGTGTAGACAAACTAAACTCGGAAACTTGGCGATACTGAGTGAAATAAAAATAGACCAGATTAATGGAATCAAAGTGGATTTAATTATACGCTATTACTAACTATATTAAGGAGGTTTTAGACTTTACTATCAGGATATCACCATGGTTTCTGACCAGAAAGGAATAAAACGAAGGGCTACTAGTGGCAGACGATGTTGTATTCATCAGGAAACCACCGTCCATCTCTATTCAAAGGACCTGCGATCAGTCAGTATTTTCACCTTCCAAATGACTACAGCGTGTTGTAAGCATTAATTTATGCTATAAAGTAGGCAGCTAGTCTATGACGGCTACAGCAGAAAATGCCAATACTTTCGCCATAGCTTTGACGGTTTGGATCCAAAGTATTGAATTCGGGACACTTTTCAATTCCACCGATGCTCCAGCGAAGGCAAATACTAACGAGTGCTCTTCGTAGAAGCTACCACGAAGAGAATTCGGATGAATAAATTACCCCTTTCTGTGTCGATGCGATGTCTAAGACCGCATTCGAAGCGCCTTCTTCGCCAAAATTTTAGAGGTATCGGAGGTGGAATTCTGGACATTTGGCGCCCACTCACAAAAGGTACTCACAATGGTCAACTTTGATTCAAATTGGTAGTGTGGAACTTTCCGTACCAGTTCTGCTTGCCTAACCTAATATACTCAGTTTTAGTTAATTTTGAAGTAGCTCAGGTAGCTTTTTTATTATTTTAATTTTTTATCTTGATTACATGGAAAGTATGTAGACACATAAAAATGTTATATTGACGGCGTCGAGTATTATTTATGTATGTACAGTTTTGTGTAAGGTAAAATAAGTTACAACAATTCGTTTTGTAAAATATTTAAATTAATGAGTTTGGGATGGTTACTACATGTATGTAGATTGGAAATGACACAAAAAAAAACTGCGAAACACTTAAATTTAACTTTGGGTCGTAGATTGCAAATTTGTATTAAGCTATTATAGATCAGATAGTTTTTCCAGGATATTTCAAATTTTATGAAAAAACCTTAATTTTAACATAGAATAAATAACAAAAAGGATTTTTTTAAATTTTTTTTAATTTGTATCAAAGCCTCTTCTTTTACACAAAATCGAGCAACTAACGAAGAAAATCGGTTCATTACTAAAAAAGTTGTGAATGGTCAAATGAAAATGCGTAATTTTTTTCTTGAAATATGAACTGGAAAGAATGTTGCTCATACGCCATGGACATGGCCATATAAATATAACAACACTTACATGAATTGTGTACAGGACACCCACGAAAATTCCAAATTTTTAAACAAATTTTTAGGGGTCGCTTCCATAGTTTGAAAAAAATTATTTTTTTAAGTGCGAAAATTCGAAAAAATTTTGACTTGAAATCTTATAAATTTAACATATTATTGAAACTTATTCATATAAATCCATAAAAGCGCTAAATTATAGCTGGCTGAAATAAAAAGTTTGTCGAATTTTTGCGATAAAAAAAAATATTTTTTTTTTCAAACCCGAGTAGCGTACCCAATTTTTTTTTTGTTTAAAATGTAGAACAAAATAAAGACATTCCTAATGATGTTGATATTTTAGGACCACCCTAATGGTGGTATGTACGTATACTAGGGTGTCCGCCATACAGATTTACAAATGATTATGGGGAATAACTTAGAAATGCAATCTTTACTAAAGATAATTAATTACTGCAAGTTGTAATTAAGAACTAAAACCGTGAAGCCGCATATGAATACTGATAAATTTCGCTCACACAAGTACGTAATAAATGCTCATCTCCGCCGATTATGTGCAATTGAATCTGTGAAAATTATTTTTATAAAAGCGAACCTTGCGACTTGAGCGTAGTTAGTAAGTATTTTGAGCTTATTCAGTAAATAACTTATACACATAAAACCTACGGGCACTACTGAATACCGAAATGGGAAAAAAAGTTCGCCTTATTTTACTTTTTGCTTTTTTGAGCCTCGTCACGAAGGCAGCAGCTCGACCGCAGGGATCAGGTAAATGAGGCCAAGTGCCATATATTTAAGCAAGAAATAATAAATTTTCTTATTTGGAAAGATTCTACTTGTGGCCCAAATGCAAATTTCACAAATTGCGGCACTGCTTGTCCATCTAAATGTAGCGACAATCCACTGCTGGGAACAATTTGTACTGATCAATGCGTAGTTGGCTGTCAGTGTAAAGATGGATATGTGCTGAACGATGCTGGAAAATGTGTACAGAGGAGTGAATGTTGATTAAAGCTCCCTTTATATGTTTACATAAATGTCTCTGTTCTTAAATAGTCTTTTGTAAATTGTAGCTTTTGGCACGCAATTATTTGTAAACCAAAATAAAAAGGTAAAATTTGCAGGAGCAAGGAAAATTTAAATAAAATAATGGCTTAAATCCTGGGCTGTACAAACTACTTATATATATATATGTATGTTTAATGAAAGAAAGGCGAAAAACACTATTTCAATATTTTACGTTTGAAGCTTCGATGTGATCTGCGCAATCCACAAGAAAATTCCCCTGTCATATGCGTCAACTATAGCGAGATCAGCCTTCTGGGCTTCGGCTAAAAGGTTTTAACGAGTATACTGTGTGAAAGCCTAAAGTCGAACGAAATAATACTAATTGGCTTTGTCAGTGTTGATACATACAGTCTCCAAATATTGGAAAATACTGGCGATGTAGATTTCAAAGCCGCTTTCTACAGTAAGAATGTCTGAAGTTGATATCTCCGCGAAACGAATGATTCCGCTGAGTAAAATGTTCTTGTGCAAGACCACGAGTGCGAGTACGAATTTAAATCTTTCCATACTTGCAGCAACTTTAATTCAAGGAGAGAGCGCCATTTAAGTTCTTTATTTCTTCTGTTGAATAAATATCAATCGGCAATTTCGTTGCAAAAAAATGTAATTCCCATTTTGCGAAGGAAATCAATGCAAAGTGGGAAAACCTCTGAGTGAATTTTGTGCATCAATTGCGAGAGTTATTGTAAACATTTATTTGTGAGTGCAAGCATATACATACATACGTATTTATTTATGCACATTAGGGTGGCTACGACAACAAACAAAAAAAAATCAATAAAAACAGTACGATTTTTTAGCCGGACTTCACTTTTGCACTTCATTAGACTAAAATTGTATGGCCTATAAAACTACATACCCAAAAATGTTGATGGAAATTTATAGAATCTCTTAAGTTTTATATAAACTTAAGTGTGGAACTGTGGTATATGGTTAAAGTCTTGACAATATTTGTATAGAAAAAAAAGTTTAACTCGAAGACCATTGTGAGTGTTAAAAAAAAATCAACATGTGGTCACTTGTTTGAGTAACTGTGTTTTTTTATTTGTATTTTATTTATTTTATTTTTTTATTTGATCGCTACTTTTTGATGTTTTGCTTTTGGACCGCATAACAACTGTTATTTTCAGATTTCCTTTTCTATATACTATGCAGGGAATTTAAAGCGGTTAAAGCACGCATCATTGAAATAAAATTCAAGCGAAAAAAAACTAAAATCAAAATATATCGAAATTTTGCACAACTTCATTTACTGTACTTGTTTACACCAAATTTTGGGTAAATCTCCAATGCTGTGATACAGACTTTACAAATAATTAGAAACTATTATCTTGGGCTCTCGACTTTTTATATGATAATTTTTATTAACTTTTTTCCAAGATAAAATAGGGAAACACATATTATAAATGCTGGTAAAGCTGCACACTAGATAAAACATTCAGTCAAGGATAGTATAGCGCAAAATAAAACTAGAAAAATAATAACCACCCTAATGCAAAACATACATTTATGTATATGTACGTGTGCAGTGAGTCGTTAAAAGTGTTAATATGTTTCCGCATTTTATGAACAGGTGTAAAGATAAAACACTATTTTGTAAAGCTTGACACTCACCTACGACTTGGTATTAGGGTGCTCTTTGTCGATTTTTTTGGCTTGTGGGTAAAAAAATTAAACAAAAAGTTTTAGCTCATACGCGAATTCAAAGAATCGTTTAACATCCAACTGCAATAATCTCAACAGTAATAATTACTGGTGGATTCTAACTATATGAAGACAGTAATGCACTCCAATAAGTTTTAATTGTCCTTACAGTATCAAAAAATTAAATTAAAATGCTCACTTTTTGGGTTTTATAATGAAAAATATTTAGACCTAAATATAGCTATCAATTAAACAGCAGCCCCAATACATTCCCAACCATATTTATTTGCGAGTATCTCATTAATGTATTTACTATACATATGAATGTATGTACATATGTATGTATTCAGAATCATCTGCATGCTTGACGCTCACAGAATATTTTGTTTTGTTTCTATAAAGTATAAATAAGAGTGCAGTGAAATGCTGCTACAACTAAAGTCTTTCTTAGCTTCTACGGCAAACTACATAGTATCACTCGATTGCTGCTTTAAAAAATGAACAATAAATTCAATTTGCTAATTTTGCTCCTTTTGTGCTTCGTTGCGTTCATAACAGCTTTACCGCAGAGAGGTAAGCGAGCAGAATTTGACATTAATTTAATTTCCTAAATCGTTTAAATATAATTTAAAGGTTGGCGCCCCTGTCCACTCGATCAAGAGTTCACAAGATGTGGTTCGGCCTGTCCACCAACATGTGATGACCGAGGTGAGCCGAGGATCTGTACACTTCAATGTATAGTTGGTTGTCAATGCAGACCTGGCAATGTGTTGAACAGCGCTGGGCGGTGTGTAGACCCAAGCAAATGTTAGCTGAATTAAAAGGTGATCAAGGAGATTGCATAAATCATACGCGATTGGGTTACCAGTTATGTAAGAAAACGCAAACATTTTATGTACATATATGCCGTTGATATTGAATAAAACGTGACCGAAAATATTGCAAGTGAATATAATTTCTTAAATGGAGGGAGTGTCTCTATTTAATTATCGTCAAACAGTTTGCAATGTTGCATTCTTAGGTATTCCACGCTCTATTGAAGCTAGTCTTTGACTGATTTTATTTAATTCAAATAAAAAAATGTTTCTTTAATTTGATACATAAATTATTTTCAGTTAAATATGTGTCTGCTTCTAGTGGGATCAAGGCAATGTGACAGCTTTCCATATAACTACGCGTTCTCGAGGGGCATGTTGATATAAATATGTACATATATTTCCGTACAGCACTAACTTTATACTTTCCGAGAAACCAAAAAAAAAAACAACACAACGTCATAACCGATTTAGTTCCGATATGTATTTGACGAGGAAATACGAAAATTCTTCACAAAAAAAAAGAAATCAAAACATTCGTACAAAGTAAAACGTATTTCAGAAAGCTGATCGAAAACGAAATTTTGGGTCTTGACATAATTCTCGGAAAGCTCATTAAAAAAATGTCTGCCCATCGCTCTTTGCTTCCGCTTCCTACCATTCTTGTACACGGAATACGGTTGCTACTTAATTGTTGATAAATGGCAATATACATGGGCGTAGCCAGGTAGGGGCACGGGGGGGTGCTCGAGCCCCTTAGATATATATAAAATAGTACCCTGAAATGCCAGCTTAATAGGGTCGAAATAAGTGTGAAAAGAAAAATGAAATTAATTAGTGTAAGTATGTTGTACTATGCCATTGACTTGTATTTTTGATACAAATATACGAGAATTTGAATTGCATGGATTTGAACCATATTTTTGCTATTACCAAACACAATTCTAAAAAGCGGACTTTCGGCCCACGCTGTTTGGTAGGTATAAGAATAGGTTGTAAAGTATTTTCCATACCGCTAAATGAAGGGGCGTGACACCTCCCTTTATAAGCCGAATTTTTCACACTGCATATCTCTGCGGCCACTGTGGCGTAGTGGTAAGCAGCGCGCTTCCACTCCACAACGCCTGGGTTCAAGCCCTGGTCAAAGCAACATCGCAAATAAAAAAAAAATATATAGAAAAAAGGTTTTTTCTTAACAGCGGTCGTCCCTCGGCAGGAAATGGCAAATCTCCGAGTCTATTTCTGCCATGAAAAACCCTTAGGTCCCTCCGCTTTGTGTGATAACATCAAGGCGCACGCCACAATTCGGAGGAGAAGCTCGGCCAAACACTAACATATGTGTAAGCGCCAATCTATTATTATTATTAGATCTCTGCAAGTGTTCATGGTAGAGTACTGGAACTTGATATGGAGATATATAAAAGCAATCGCATAGTCATGAAGAAACAATGGGGCTATTGGAAAAAGGGGCGTGGCACCTCCCATACAAACCGAATTTTTCACACTGCATATCTTTGAGTACTGTTCATGATAGAGTACTCGAACATGGTATGTGGATAGATGAAGTCAATCCCATACTCTCAGAGAAAAGTCGGGCTATTTGAAAAGTGGGCGTGGCGCCTTCCAAACGCACTGAAACTGTTACGTATCTTTGTAT